AGAGTGATCTGCTCTAACCCTGGAACAGTACTGAACGTGGGGCTCGCTGGCCAGTACATCCCAGTTGCAAAAGTGGCTCCATGAAAGAACTGGAGAGTGACCCTGAACACGCATGATTTCCTTCCTGTGTGCTCCCTTTCCTTTTATAGAAAGACAACACACCTCCCTTGGGCACACAAATCCATGGGTGCCTTTTTAATGGCTGAGGCAGCCTGAATTGGAAATGCTTCAGGACAGGGAGTCAGAAGATGACCGCTAGACTTTGGGTTTGAGATTTTCTGGCCTGTTTGGCCTGTCAGAAAGCCTCTGCTCCTCAGCTCCTTAAGGATGTGAAATGGAAGTAGTAGCACTCACAGGGCTGCTCCGATGACAAAACGTGACATCAGACCTGAACAGATTTGTTGACAGGAAAGGCCCGGAAGAAAAATGAAATAACAACAGCCGCCACAAGTACCGAGAGCTTGCCTGCAGTCAGGTGCTGGGCCAAATTTAGTTTGTTTTTGTTTTTAATTTAGTTTTAAGGATTGTTTTTAATAAAATTTAATTTTCTGAACAGGTAATCAGTTTCAAGATTTGTGAGTAAAAAAGATACATAGGTCTATAATCAGGCTAGATGTGTTTTGTTTTTGTTTTGTTTTTTTGAGAGGTTTTTCGCTATAGGGCGCATGTGCGTGCCAGACAGACAGAGAGAGACATAGAGACAGAAAGTGAGAAATCACCCACCCAGAGGGGATGGTCACGCCGCAATCCCTTCTCCTCCATTCCCCTCTCGGGATCTTGGGCACGCATGCACACGCGCCCGGCGTGAGTTTTAAGCCACCGGGTCTGGGACACGAACCACAGTCGACTACGTGGGAGTCCAGCGACATAGCCATTACGCTAACTGCTGGTTCCCGAATGTGTTTTTGAATTCAGAATTATTCATATTTTAGAAAGGTTAGATAGGGGGCCAATGGCGGCATGGTGGCTAAGGCAGCTGGCTCTCACATGGCTGACAGTGCAAGTTTGAGTACTGACCTGGCAGCCTGAAAAATAAAACACACAAGGCGCATGTGCATACATGCCCCAAATCCCACGAGTGGGGGAAATGGAGGAGAGATTTCGATATGACCATCCCCCAAAGGGAGTGCTCTCTATCTCTTTCTCTGATGAGCGCACATGCCTGTTGGCAGTTTTTTTTTTAAAGGTTAGATGAGCATACCAGTGTAATTTGTGTAACACTCCTAAGCAGAGCACAACACAGTAACCAGTATCCTACTAGTTCCGCAAAATGAATATTCACACCTAGGCTCTCCGATATGCTATTTAGGCTCAGAACCACTTACGCACAGCTTGTGAATAAGGCCAAGAATCCACAAACAACCTGGAGGCACCGTGTGAGCTCCTCCCTCTGGCCTCCCAGTATTCTCCATTTTCTTGAAGTTCCCTTGGTCGTCTGGTCAGAAGCTGGGCTCCCTTTACACTGCTCTGCTATGCCCTTCCCATGACTAGGCCTCTGTCCAGAATCAAATGGAGGGAAAACAAAGGGGGGAAAAGCAATGGTGGCTTGTCTCATAGTCTTGAGACCACAAGTTCTTCTATTGGAAAGGAAGGTTTAGGTGTTTGCAGACTGCTGCTGGCTGAGGTGCAAATAGGAAAAGGGAAAAGAAACATGGGGGGTGTTCCCCACTTATTCTGAGCATTAATAGACCCCCCTCCCTGCTCCTTTAGCCAGAAGCACAAGCTCTCCTGGAGAGTTCTCTGTCGATGCAATGTCTACGTCCCCACTTGGGGATTCCTTGAGTTCAGACTGAAGGATATCAGAGGGGCCAATGGCAGTATCATTGCCCATGTGGTGGTACTTCAAACTCTGGTCTTCTTTTCCATCTGCTCCCCCCAATTTTGGGACTTCTGAGAGTCCTCCAATAGGCTACCCCATGCATTCTGTGTGCCTGCACGAAGTGGAAAAGTCAGGATGGAGTGTGCTTATTCCAGAACAAGAACCTTAACCAATACAGAACACCAGTATGGCTGCCTTCAACTCTGCGCCTATACTTGATTGCTTGGTATGAACAATGCACTGTCCCCCACCAGGTTTCTACAGGATAGTCAGCTGTGGCATCATGGAGCACCCAGATGCCATAACCTGGATATAGCCAGACCCTAGTCCCTAATTCCATGCAGGTGTCTGAACCACCGAGGGCAGTGTTGCTCAAACCACAATGTGCACGTGAACGGGGATTGTGCTAAAATGCAGGTTCTAATTCAGAAGATCGGGGATGAGACCTGAAAGTCTGTAGTTTTCACACAAAGGATCTGACATTGCTGGCCTAGGGACTGCAAATGGCCAGGCTGTTTCTTAGTCAGGGCAAAATTTTGGTGCACCAGGTTTATATATATTAAATGAATCTACCAGGTGGAATGTAACGTTAGGCACAGTGCTGTCCTTGTATATTTTGTTCTCCCCATCACAAAGATGGCCTCTAAGTTCAATGGCTAATAGGGACTGAGAAGGGTTAGGAAATGCTGTGTTT